CTCCTAATTAGCCTATTGTGCCATAGCACACTTACTGTTTTAGGAGATTGCTTTCTATAGAATAATATTTATCTCATAGAGGCCTAGTAAGCCTCTGTTAATTAGTATTTGTAAACTACTTTGTGGTCCTTGGTTAGATGATGTTATAGACTTGGAAAGAAGTGTTATGATTGTAATGATTTGAAAGGTTGAGAAACCTAGCTTTTAATACTATATGTTTTAATGGAAGATACAATGTAGTTATACCAGTTGAAAAGAATAATGCAGTTTTATCCGACAGTATCTGTTAAATGATGCTTTCTTTTATGCTTCTCAGCTATCTGTAATTTCCCATAAAGATCCTTATCCAAAGCTCACTGGAGCAACTAAGAGTCTTTGCACTGATTTCAACAACCTTTGGCTCAGACCCATAGTGAACAACCATGATTTTTTCACAGTCATATCATTATTAGCCTGTGTTTAAAAATACTTAGGTAATACAAAGCATTTTCTCTCCCTGAACTCTTGATGCATTACTGACCCAAAATACTAACAGAAAAATGAAATACTGGCTGTATAGGAGTCAGTGGCAAAATTCCTGTTGCCTCCCATAAGGCCAAGATTTCCCCTCTAGATTCTTAGATACACTACATGAAAATGAGGGTCATGCTTCGTGTCTTTTACAACGTAATGGAATGGCCTGTGAAACCAGTTTATTAATTGGCCAAAGATGTATGCAAGTAAATTTCTATTCCTTACCTGAGAATATGAACATTTTCATTCATGCAGTACATAATATAAGGTTTTATTTTCTAAACCTCAAAATGAGTCTTTCACTGTGTTGTCTTCTGCCTTTCATTTTCTGAAGAATCTATAATGAAGGCCCTTTATACCACATACCTGAATATAAAAGATTTCTTGGTTTCCAAGAACAACTCAGTGTTACAGAATATAACTAGCATTCAGAGTATCTTCCAGATGGATAAAATTAAGCATTCATATCTCATCTTTTTCTACTGAGTCCAGCAAGTTTTGGAAGGAAACTTCATTCTTTCACATTCATCCACATGTGGCAAGATACCTATGTAAATTGTTTCTTAAAAGTACATGACAAAAAAAGAGCTCAGCTAATATTATAAAATATGGTAAGCATCTGTTTCAGGGCTTGAAAAAATATAAATCTTTCTTTTAATTTAAAAAAAAGAAAAAAAATCCCATGTACAATGTATGTTACAACACAGATGGGGAGAGTTTTTCAGCAACATATGGTCTTTATAAATTGTGTAAGAAATATTTTGAATATGTGTTGTGATTTATTTTACATAAACAAATGAGGGAATTTAAATTAAAAAGATAAATCTGTACATGGGACACAAAGCTGAAAAGATAAGCGTACTTACTGCTATTTTGGTTCTAATAAGTGTTTCTGGGTCCTTGAATTTGTTTCATCTGTATGAAAACTGGATTTACTCCCAGAGTTCCACTTCTTAACTAGGACAGTTTAAAAATTAAACAAGAGCTGAGTCAGTTCATTAATTTAAATGATATTACAAATCAGAAAGACATTATAAAATGTTGATTTAATTACTTTTTATTTACCAAATTAAAACACTTTGAAGAAAAGTTAACAGTCTTGGCAATGGCCGGTTTGGTGACTTGGCAGCATTAGGTTTGAGCTGCTGCTAAAATGGGAGGCAAACCAGGGAGTCAGTCATGACCTCAGGTTCTAAATCCCCTAAGCATCACATGCTTGATAAACTGGGTTAGCCAGACCAACATGCAGATATTTTAGAAACAAAGCCCCAGGTCACTGTGTCCTCACTGTTTCTGCACTTTCATGTGTGTGCCTGGAAGCATGTCCCATGAACCTGTGAGTTGAAATACTCTGGGATTCTTTTTTATATGGCCAATTTTTTTTTGTACCAAGGTAAGACGACTTCCTTGAGATTTGAATACTCTCTGCATCAGTAGCAACCAGAGAGACATTAATTTTGTGTCAGTTTAAGAGTTTTTGCACACAAATGACATTGGCACACTTATTTAAATTTGTAGAAATCAGGTCCACAAGCTAACCAAAGCTAACACCAATGAGAATCCTTCTTCAGAAAATTGGAGATCATGATGGAGTCTTTGCAGTCTAGCGATGAGTATTCTTTTCACATCATGGCTGATGGAGTTTGGAAGATCGGTGTCATATAGAGAGTTAGTTATAAGCTGTCACTCCAGGTCTTGTAGCTAAATGTCTGACTTCAGTTTTCCAAACTCCCCATTTAGCATCATCTTCTATGAATATAAGTACATAAAAAAAATGTAGGACTAAAAAGTGAAATAGTGTTCTATTCTATAGCAATTCTGGTGAACACAGAGGGATGATTTGTAGAGTAAGGATAGCAATGACATTTTTAAAAAGAAGTCATTACCTCTGTGGTGTGCATAGCTTCAATCTATGTGTAATGAAAGGGAACATGTATTGCAAATGAAATCTGTACTGTTGGGAAACAGATGTGAAGTTTCACCCTGCAGATATGTCTTTCTCACAGGGAAGGCCTCCTTGCTTTTGTGAAGTGCTGCTGTTTCCTCTCTGTGTGAACTGTAGTTCATGCAGCAAATCTTTGGGGTTATAAAGCAAAGAAAATGGTTGCAGTCAACATTTTATAACAGAAAGTCTGTTAGCCAAATTCATCAGTGAGAGTCATTTCAGTGAATACAGTAACCTATAAAAATGTGAAAAAATAAAGCCCCCCCCCAAATTAACATACTTCTAGAAGGCAAGGGTAACATTTGCACAAATTGCAGTGTCTTATTTATAGTATTGTTTTAGCAGATATTAAATACAATAAAACATTGCTAACATACATAAGCAATGTCAGGGCCCTGGGTGTACTAATAGCCTTAATAGGCTTCCACCCACACCCTCTGCCCAATTTCAGCTCAGGCCTGGGCCTTCAGTCCCTGGCTGAGCTATACTGGAGGAGTATCTGTCGTCAGCTCAGCCACAGCCATGCCTATGCTTGGCCATAGACCCCATTGATCTGGACGCTAACCCACAGACTAACTTCCTGGCTTGACCTCAGGCCTGCCTTGTCACTGTGGACCTGTCTGGAGATCACTGGGCTGTCTGACCCTGGTTACCATCACCAGACCCGATCCTGACCCTGACTTGCAGATTGACTTCCTGGCTTGATCCCAGACCTGCCTCTTTACCATGAGCATGCCTGATCATCTGGACTTTTGGTTGACCCTGGTTACTATCCCTGGGTCTGCCGTGCTCGCCTCACTTGGGTGCTGTGGGACTGGGCCTTGGCTGGTGAGGCCCCTGCCCTGCTTGGACATGTTATCATGCTCAGCTCCTGGCTCCCCACCCCTTAGGGAGTAGCTGCCCCTTGCTGTGCCTTGACAAACAAATTCCAATATCACTAGAGTTGATGAGGATAATGCACATAAAATTAAAACTGTGCGATAACTTAAGGTTATCAGATCTAGAACTGGCAACTTAAATACTAAAGTTGCTTTTGCAAAATTAATTTGGTAAAAGTCACTGGGAAGTTTATCAATTCAATCAGTTGGTTTTTCAGAATAAAATGCCATAGGTACTAGAAGGTAAGTGCATAGTAAAATTAGGAAAATAATAATTAACAGGAATCTTTACAAATACACAGATGGAAGAGTGTATTTTTTTTTGCTTTTTTGCATTTTTGCAGGTCATATTTTTTGGAGGGGAGGAGGTGTTTTGCTTCTTTGTCATGGTAGTAAAGACTATAGCAATAATGTTCTGAGCTGTCAGGCTTTGAAAGGTGAACAGTTGCATTTGGAGTGATCTTTACACTGGTACAACAACTAGACTCAAATTTGCTATGATGTAACACTGAAGGATGACAGTTTGAGAGGCAGTCTGTTAAGTCAATCCCCTAACAGGTATATGGAGACTTGAACAGCATCAAAGTGATACTTGTATAGTGTCAGATCTTCCTGTTCCTTGATCCTCCCCTATACCCAAATTGCAAGTCTAGTAAAGAATAAGGGTGTATTTGTATGATGGCAAGCGATTATTATTATTTTTTTATTCGAGTTATGAAATTGCTGGATTTTTAGCTTGAAATATAAAAAAACAAATGGTCATAGTTCTAATTTCTTATTTTCTTTGTATATAAGATTTGCTATCATGTCTTATTTTGTGAATAATATTTCATGACTGTGGAGCAGAAAATTCTTATATTCTCAGCATGGGAATGCAGTAAGTAGTTATAACTCCTTATATGAATAACAATAATATTTACTGTCTAGTGTGTTAACATCAAATTGCATTCTCCTCTTGATACATGTGCCTAATGAATCAAGAAGAGAAATGTACTCTTTGAAGTCCAGGAGGTTTGGTTTTTGTTAGTTCTTACATTACATCAACTTCATTTCACAGTGAAATGAACTGTATCAAATCAGGCAGTTATCAGTAAAGGCCTGTTTCTGCATAATCAACCAGTGCCTTTATGCTTTCCTTTAAAGGAAAGGTAAAGAAACAGGATTCATCATAGCAGATCCCATTAGTTGCTTGGTCCAGTACACTTTTCTGGTCATTGTATCAGAAGAAGCTAGTCTTACTTTGCTTATATGCAATATTATATTTGGGAAATGGCAGGGAAGGGAATGAAAAGGTACCTTTGTAGCTATGTTTGCATCCTGAATATTTACCTGAATGACTTTCTTGTCCTAATTTAGTGATCTATGAATTCCTCCTATCAGAATCATTACATCTTTCACAGTATTTCTGGCTCTGTATAAAATGAGTTATATATAGTGTGTTTGTACAGTAATGCCTTCAAGTAAAAAGGAAGAGAAATGGCCTTTAAAGAACAAAGTATTAGTTTAATACCAAAAGAGGGTATTAAAGGGTTGTGAGATGATTTCAGAACAAATTAGTTGTTAGATGATTTTATTATTATAATGTTATTTTTCATGTTATTTTTAATTTTTACTTTTTAATTTTTTATAGTTATTTTATTGTTTGTTCTTTGATTTCTTTATAGATTCTGGACGATCAGGAAGCCCGAGCCACAATGATCCTGCCAAGAATCCACCAGGTAAATATGAGTTCCAGGACATGTACAGTCTAACATTCTTTGAGAACAATGTTACTACTGTTAATAGTTAAAGAGAACATAATTAGTCAGCAATGTATTTTGCACTGGTAAGTGTAAAAGAATTTTTCTTACTCTTGCTGCTTCTTAGAAATTTATACATGGGGGATGGGCAGAAAAGTGAGGAGATAAGACCCCAAATAACACTATTCTCATAAACCTCCAGATGCTACAATTATTCTTTTACCATGGGTGACACAAAATTGCCCTTCCTTTGAAGTTTGTAACTTAAGCTACAAGCTGCTTCTTTCCTGTAATTTTTTTATGCATGCATTGTAAAATGTAAATATATTCATTTTCTATAAAAGCTTGTCAACTCACAGCTGTTTTTTAACATATTGTTAGTAGGGTGCATTAGTGGCCTCCTGGTATTTTTTTGAGAGAGGTCAGTGATTTCATGGAAACAATCACTTCAAGGATTTTTCTTAAAAAAAATGCAGGAGAAAACTCAAAGCCAGACTTTGTCATTCCACACTGTTTAGGCAAAAACTCTGTATTTTTATGTATTTTTATTCCTGTAATCAAATAGGCTGCACCAGTAAATCTCCAAAAATGTTGTTTTATGAATATTATCAGGGTAAGACAAACAAGCGTGTCAGTGGCTTCCTCATGCTAGGAGGTTTCTTAATGTGCAAGGAATGACTCCTGCAAATGAAGTTATGCTATATCTTCTCATTTCAGCTCTCAAAATGTCTATCTGAAATAAGTTGGAGCTAACTCAGTTTGCTATTTTTCTAAATGCTAAATGAATCACTCTGTGAGTCTAACCAAGTAATAATTGTGTGATGCTGGGCTGTTACATGTACATGAGCATTTTCTGGATCTATGCAAACATTAGGGAAAACAGTCTACACTGTGACTGTATAGTGTTGTACTACAACTATGATCAAAAGTATTCTATAAGCATGTTGGAATATGCCACACATGTTGGATGTGAATGACCAAAGGTGGTAAAACCATCAGAGCTGGTCATATAATGTAAAAAAAAAAATCACATTGCTTCTATAATATAAACTTCTGCAATCTTCCTGTGTTTATTTCTGATATGTTTTAGACAGATAAAGGCAGAACAACTCATAATATACAGTGATCTCTTTTATCTATCTATCTATCTATCTATTTATTTATTTATTTATTTGGGTGTGTGACTTTTTTGCAAGGGACCATGTAGATTTATATTACAGTTTCTAAAATCACTTTTGGATGGAGACTCTGATACTGTTTCCCTCCAAACTGTGTGGGTTTTATGATAAGGCTTTTATTTCTCTATTAAATATATGACACAAATTATGAAGCATAGTGGTTTAAAAACCCCCAAGAAGTCACCACAGCAAATTTACACCTACAACAAGCCCTCAAAATGTCCTTGAAGATAATTAGGGTTTTGTAAGACATGGGCTCAAAGAGAGACTGGACAAGTTCATTGGAAGAGAAATCCACTGAGGATTACTAAATAAACCAAAGCAACATTTAGCTTAGGAAGTTCCTAAACTGAAAATACTTGGAGACTGAGAGTATTAGTTGGAAAATCTCAGTCAGGGGACTTATCTGGAGTGAGGAAGACTCAAGTTCAAGTCCCTCTGCTAATGAATATTAAATTATTTATACAAAGTGAAACATTATTAGGAGAGAGACTACCTCTCCCCCCCTTTCATTCCTCCCCACTGTCTCCCTTCTTTCCCCCAGAATGACTTGTAACATGTATTAAAGGCATTCATCTAAGACGTTCAAAATCCAGGACCACATTCCTGATCTGAATAAGGTGTAGTTACATTCATCTCTAGCTCCAACCTTGCTATTCTGGAATGGTTTGTTTTCTCATTTTCACCAGAAATTTTATTCTGTGACCCTTTTCTTAATAAAAAATGAGTAAAAAATGCCATTTTTCCATTTTTTTTTCTTTTAATTAGAAAACTTGCAACAGCCTCATCCATCTCTCAATATGCAAATATCCCTTGCAGCTGTGTAACCTGAGAGGCTTTTTGAGCTTTGGGAGGTTTTTTGATTTTTCAGTGGGGCCGCCAGCCATAAGGAATATATTCCTCTGGATCAAGCCCTAAGAAAGGTGTAATAAATTTGCCTATATGAGTGTTTTAGAAAGAAGCATTTTGGTTTCATGTTTTAGAATCACAGAATCACAGAATCACAGAATCGTTTAGGTTGGAAGGGACCTCTGGAGATCATCTAGTCCAACCTCCCTGCTCAAGCAGGGTCACCTAGAGCATATTGCCCAGGATCACATCCAGACAGGTTTTGAATATCTCCAGCGAAGGAGACTCCACCACCTCTCTGGGCAACCTGTTCCAATGCTCTGTCACCCTCACAGTGAAGAAGTTTTTCCTCAGGTTCAGGTGGAACTTCCTGTGGTTCAGTTTCTGCCCATTGCCTCTTGTCCTGTTGCTGGGCACCACGGAGAAGAGGCTGGCCTCATCCTCTTGACACTCCCCCTTCAGATACTTGTACACATTGATCAGATCGTCTCTCAGTCTTCTCTTCTCCAGGCTGAACAGGCCCAGCTCTCGCAGCCTTTCTTCATAGCAGAGGTGCTCCAGCCCTCTAATCATCTTGGTAGCCCTCTGCTGGACTCTCTCCAGGAGTGCCATGTCCCTCTTGTACTGGGGAGCCCAGAACTGGACACAG